ACTGAATTAGCACTGAAATGGTGACTCATTATTGGTTCTGTATTGTTGCTTAAAATACCAATTTAGTCATTTCAAGAATCAAACTTACATCTCCCACTATAAGCATAGAACAGTGATAGCAATTTTCACTTGAAAATCGGATCTTTGTTGGGATTGCCCCATTTGAGGCCATGTTCTTGAGGAAAAATTGTCTGTAGAAACGGGGATTGAGTATGGGGATCACGCACCTTGCTCTGTGGGATCTTTGCTCCATATATACATATATGTAAAACACAAAAATACCTCTAATTTGATTTGATGTGTTTAGTTTGTTATTAGTTTATATTATTTGAACAATTTTTATGTATTTACGTGAATTTTATGTAATAGACTTTTTAATATAGGGTATATTATTATATTAATATTTTTTTTTATCTTGTTTCTATTTTTCTTTTAAATTTTAAATTTTTTTATAACAAGTTTGGGAATTCTTGCAGGTTACTGCAGGGAGGGAGGTGGCGAGAATCGGGGACCATGCCTCCATGTTGCTGAATACACTTGAGTATATATTGTATAATATGAAAATAATTAAAAGTAACTTTTCAGAAGAAAAAATAGTTTATCATAACAAAACTATTTATTTACATATCAAATATTTAAAGAAATTCATATAGTAAATATATTGGTGAAGTTATGAATATCATATTATTATAATATGACATCAAATTATATTAATATAAATATTAACTTATTATATTATTTATAAGGTTTAAATATGTTTTTTGGTTTTTAATTTTTTTTAATCTCTTAATTTTTATTGTTTTTTTTTATGAATTAATTTTTATTGTTTTAGTCCTTTATCTTTTTAAATATCACATTTTTGTCCTAAGTGATAAAGTGGCTAACTAAGATATGTTGCCATGCTACATTTTTTGTGGTATGTGTCAATATTTTATCGTGCCACATAGGCAAAAGAAACTTTTTGAGTGACTAAAACTAAAATCTAAAAACTGTAAGACTTAAAAATACATTTTAGGTTAATTTATAATTTAATTAATATATTACATGAAATAAAACTATCTGTTTAATATTATCAATTTCACTATAATTTAACCAATAAGTAATATTAGTATATTTACTGATTGAATAACCAGTACAATTTTAAAATATTGATTATAACAGTAATAAATGTGTATTTACTATGATTAGTGGAAAGAGTTCTTTCTTGGTTTGATCAATAGCTACTTAAGAGTGATGATTTTGGAATTCTTGTCCAAAGAGGGGGCAAGGGTGAGCTTCTGCCCTTCCACTAATTTTTTTTTTGCCTTTTCTTTTTTCTTTTATTATAAAATGTATATAATATACTTTTTTATATTTTAAAATATGTAGTCTTATAATTCATAAAGTAGTATAGAGCAAAAATATGTTATTAGCACTCTACATGGTAAATAATTTACTACTTATAATATAATTGGACTCTTCTTGAAACGCTTTATTTTGAATCTCTATTTTGAAGTTGTTAAAGCTTTGCACTGTGACGTTTTTGTTTTCAAATTACCCCTTTTGGTTGTCTACTAGATTAAATACGAGTAACATTCTGCTTTTTTTAATTGAAGCTCTCATGCCATAGCCCAAATTTTAAACTTAACCCACTTTTTATTTTTCTTGAAATTCATTTGGGTCGATTCGTTGATTACATAATGTTGCCACTTTTGGTGATATAGACGCATTGTATTTGGCAGGCTAGAGAGGAAAAATTGAAGCATGACATAGGGTCTGTGATATTTTGATGTTAAATATGTTTTAAAATTATTAAATGGTATTTTATTTTGTGGGTGTCCAATAGGATGTGTGTTTTATTACACGAGTCAAGAATCTTTTATCCAGAAAAAAAAAATGAAGACTTTTTTTTTCCATTTAGAAAAAATATTTTACTGACAATTAAATAAGAAAACCAAAAGTTATCCTTTTAAGAGTTTATTTTTAAGATGTATGTATATATTAAAAAAAATAAAAGAACAAGTGAGATATAAATATAACTCTATAAAATATCATTTACTTGCCTTCTTCATTTCCCTTTTTTGGCAAGTCATCTTATGGTCATGTGAGCATATCCAACCATAACTATGATGGATTTGAATTCGGATTGGGAACATTGCTCTTGCTTTTGCTCTTCATTCTTTTGTATAATCTATTCTGAGGCCATACTATAGGTTCAGACAAAACATGTTTTCTTTGTGTCTTAATGTTTAATGCACTAACTTTGATTTAGTAACAACTCCTCAAGTAAGTACAACTAATCTAATTGTCTTTGGCAGCCCCTGTGGTGCTAATGAATGTGTATATGTTTGGGAATGAGCTATTTTTTTAAATAACCTAAAAGTCTAATTAGTTATTTTAAAAAAAAGCTGAAACAAACTTGTAAAGTAGTCATCAAAATCTAATTAAGCATAAGATGGGTGAAAATTCAAATAAAAATAAGTTGTTATTGTAACATCGGCTTGGCTAATATATAGACAACTATAGTGGGCTCATGTAATAGAATTAGTGTATACTTTGTTGGCTGAAAATATAGATTATTTAACAATTTATTATATTTATAAGTAAAAAGTTTTATGTCTGGATATGAGTAAAAAGTGATTTTAAAATAATTTATTCTATTTAGAGTTTAAAAAAGAGTCACATTTTATCTAAGGTGAATTACAACAAAAATATATGAAATTACGTGAAATAGTTATATTTATATTTAAAATGATAAATTATTAAGGATAAAATATAAAAATAAAAATTGAGTGGAAAAAGTTTATAGCTATTAACCATAAATACTAAAATTTTACTTATTTTAAATGAGCTGTTTCATTTATAAAAAAAATAAAAAATTATAAGTTAATGCTTCACACCCACATACAGTTATGTGTAAGTTTATGTGTATATGTAAAATTATTATTTGTTAAAAAAGTTGACAGATGAATTAATAAATTTTTTTTATAAAAAAAATATCATCTTTATTAAATATTATTTTTAAAACATTAGATAATTTCTTATGATAATTTAAGTAATAATTAATAGTTGATTACTAAATTTATATTATGTTTCTAATAATAATAATAATAATATTTTTGTAAATAGCTATAATTAAGTTATTTATTATATATTTTACAAGATGGTAAATTTTTTTAAATAATTAAATAATTATTTTATTAATTTAAAAAGATTTAGTTTCTAAATGTGGTTATACAAATTTAATATCACGTCTTCGCATTACAAAAGGAACAAAGTATATATATATATATATATATATATATATATATATATAATTTTTAAAAATATGCATATTTTAAAGTTTAAGACTTTAAAGGATATTTAATGTCTAGAATCAATATTTTAATTTATGCAGATCAAGTTTTTTTTTATAATTTTGTTATTTCAATATGTTCAATATGTCTTGAATATTCTTGAAAATGTTATAAAATAATCCCTTCAATTATTTAGATATTATGTTTTATTTCAATATTGGCTTTTGAAAAAATTAATGTTTTTTAATATTTTTTACTCAATATAATTTAAATATATTATTTATACTTTAACTAAATTTGTATTTATTTATATTTAAAATAATATAAGGAAATTAAAATATAAAATGTATGTGAAAAATTATATATAAAAAATAATTGCTTATATATAATTAATTAATTAATTACTACTATTAGATTGTTATATAACATAAATTACTTTAAAATTTGGAAATATTAAAAGGATATAATTATATTTTTATATTACAATTTGTTGTCTTTATCACAATATTATATTTTTACTTTTCTTATGAGGATGTTTTCTTAAAAAAACATAATTAAAAAATATTTATGCTAAATATCAGAACTCATCATTTCCAATTTCAATTTTTTTTTTTAAAAAAAACTTAACAGAATTTTTATACCAAATATTTTATGGGAGGAGAGACAATAATAAAATAAAAAAGAAAAAAAATTAAGAAATTATTTGATTTTTAAAAAATGAGTAAGTAATTAGGTGGTGTATCAGTAAGTTAACATATTTAAACAGTTAAATATATTTTTTTAAAAATTAACAGTTTAGATCTTTTATTTTTATTTAATAATATCAAGTTTCTCATATTTATGATTTAATCTTTCATAAAAATTTATAAAATTACTCTTTGTTGTTCTTTTTATTTTTATAGGATTGTATTGATAATTATTTTTATCTTTTTCACACAAATTTTATTTATATCTTGTATTTAAATGATGATTTTAAAAATAAAAATTTTCATATGCACTAACGTAATTTTAATTGATAATAAAAAAATAAATTTTGAATTAATAGAATGTTGAATGTCATCATAAAAATTTATTTTTATATTAATAAATTGTTTAATATCACCTTAGATATTTTCTGTATTTTCTTAAATATAAGTCACATTTAGTAAGTATAATATATGTAAAATTTGCTTAAGTCATTTTAACCTCATTTAAATAAAAGTTATTAAAAAAATAATTTACTAGATAAACGTTGCTTAAATAATCATGAATTTATTTATGTAGAAATATTAACTTAAGCTAAATTACATGAATCCAACAATGTTATCACCATACTTTAGTTTTTATTGCTACATATCTTTAGATAAAATAAGAAACTCGAAGCTACATAATTATTAAAAGTAAATAAAAAAACTAATAAAACAAAATAGTTATTTAGTAATTTAAAATTATTAGATTAACACGTTTTTAGAATTAGAAAAGTGTGGATTGCCTAAAATTAACCTTTTAATTTTAATTTTTAAAAAATGAATAGATGTTGTGGGTCGAAAAGACAAAGAAAACAAAGAGAGTACGATTTATGGTTATTTTACTCTTGAAATATCGGTGAAAGTTGAAAAACAGCCTGCACTAAGATTGGTACAATTGGCCTACTTTGTATCATTCATTTCATTTTTTGGCTTTTGTGTACCTTTCCTAATTTATGGGTCCATATAACACTGTTTTTAGACGTTTCAGCTCACTATCAAACACCCTTCTACAGTTTTTCTCTCTCTTTTGAAACTGGTAACAAAGGGAAAAGAATATGATAAAGTTATGGTTTACTTTTGAAAAAGGGTGAACAATGAGTGGCCTAATTTACGGTATTCATTTCATTATATAGATTTGTGCTCTTTCCTCACTGTTTCCACACATTGATTGCATTCCTCTCTTTCAATATCAGTATCAACCCTTCTTCATCGTTCTCTTAAACTCATGGCTAAGTTTGAGTCAGTGCCATTTGCTGTTTCATCAAATCTTGTTCACAGGCTAGCTTCCCCAGATTTTCTTGAATTTGGACAGCAGTATGGTGTGATGGAAGAGTTGGAAGCCCTTAAGAAGACAATTGGATCTATCAATGATGTGCTCCTTGATGCTGACCACAAACAAGATCAAGTTCGCGTGCGTAATTGGATATCTGACTTCAAAGAAGTACTCCATGCTGCAGATGACTTCTTAGATGACCTTGCTATCGAGTTTAGGAGAGACAAACGGGATGCAGCAGAAGGAAAAGAAGCAAACAAGGTACTTCTTTCCATTTCATCTTCAAATCAATTTCCTTTGTACAGTGAAATGCCTGACAAAATTAAAGAAATACGAGAAAGTTTTAACGATGTAGTAGAAGACATGGATAAATTGAATTTAAGCCCAAGTTCTGTGCTGGTTAAGCAAACTAATAGTGAATGGAGGGAAACATGTTCTTTCGTGTTAGAATCTGATATCATTGGGAGAGATGATAGTAAAAGGGAGGTTATTAGTCTGTTGAGACATCCGAATGAAAACCAAAAAGTTTCTGTGATTGCCATCGTTGGCCTCGGTGGCTTGGGTAAGACAACTCTTGCTCAATTGGTGTATAATGACTTGGAAGTGCAGAATTTATTTGAAATGCAAATGTGGGTGTGTGTATCTGATAACTTTGATGTGAAAACTATTCTGAAGAAAATATTAGAATCAATCACGGGCGACCAAGTTGAACTATCATTAGGCAACTTGCAAAGAAAACTTCATGAAAAAATAAGTGGTAAGAAATATTTGTTGGTACTGGATGACATTTGGAATGAGAGACATGACAGATGGGTTGAATTGAGAAAGTACTTGATGTGTGGCGCTCAAGATAGCAAGATTTTAGTGACAACTCGAAGTGAAAATGTAGCAAAGGCAATGTCTGCTTGCACTTCCTATCGTTTAGAAGGTTTGACTGATGAAGAATCTTGGAGTTTGTTGAAGAGCGTTGCATTTGAGGACGATTTCAAAGGAGTGAATCGAAATCTAGAATCAGTGGGTAAAGAAATAGCCAGAAAATGTAAAGGGGTTCCATTGGCAGTTAAAACCTTGGGAGGCCTGTTACGAGGACAAAATGAAGAAAGTGATTGGGAGAATGTTTTACATGGTGACTTCTGGAAATTATGTGAAGAGCAAGATAGTATCATGCCAATTCTAAAACTCAGTTACCACAACTTGTCGCCAGAAATGAGACAATGTTTTGCTTACTGCTCTTTGTACCCCAAGGATTGGATAATTCAAAAGGATGAATTGATTCAGTTATGGATGGCACAGGGTTACCTTAAATGTTCAACCGAAAAACAGCACATGGAGGATGTCGGTATTCAATTTGTAAAGATGTTTTTGATGAACTCATTTTTCCAAGATGCAGCAAGTGATAGGTACGGTGAGATCATTAGTTTTAAGATGCATGATTTAATGCATGATCTTGCGATGCTAGTAGCTGGCAATGATTATTGTTATTTGGATGGTAAGGCAGAAAAAGTTGAAGGTAGACCCATGCATGTATCGTTGAAATACGATGCCATTCATTTGCTGAAATCATTAGATCCGAGCAGGCTGCGAACTTTGATTTTGGACGATGACTTGGAAGATTTGTCAAAGTTCAAATACTTACGTGTCTTGAGGATGGATCATCTCTCTGATTCCACTGAACATTTGAAGCATTTAAGATACCTTGATTTAAAGCTACAAAGAAGAAGTCTACCCAAATCTATGAGCAATCTTGTTTTCATACAAACATTAAAATTGTGGAAGTGCGACGAAGAATCATTTTCGGAAGTAGTCACAAAATTAGTCAATTTGAGGTGCCTTGATATTGCTGAATATCACTCCATGATGGGTGGGATGCCAGTTGGGTTGGGAAAATTATGCTCATTCCAATTCTTATCGACCTTTGTTGTGGGAGACAGCCGAGAAAGAAAATATGGCACACTAAATGAACTGAAGGACTTAAACCTCAGAGGCAAATTAAGAATTGAGCATCTCAATCGTGTCAGAGAAGTTTCCTTGGAATCACAGCACGTAAATTTAAAAGAAAAAAATTTCCTTCAATCCTTGACTCTGATTTGGTCGGATGATCATGGGTGGGAAGATGATATCCTTAACAGTGACAGCTTGCAATTATTGGAAAACCTTGAGCCCCACCGTAATCTTAAGCAATTGGAGGTGAAGTTTTATCCAGGCGTGCTTTTCCCAGATTGGCTTTCTCTCCTCACAAATGTTGTTGAGATTAGTCTCTATTATCTTCGTAATTGTGGCTGTCTCCCACAGTTGGAACGCCTCCCGTCCCTGAAGTCACTTCTGATGAACTCTCTTGATGAATTGGAATACATATATCTAAACGAAGATGATTTTGCAGCAACCTTCTTCCCCTCTTTGGAGTGCCTCAAATTATATAATTGTCCCAAGCTCAGGGGATGGCGGAGACGGGGAGATGATATCAATGATTCACATAATCTCTCCTCTTTTCTTTCATTTCCTCATCTTTCTCAACTAAATGTTTCAGACTGTCCACTGTTGACTTGCATGCCAACTTTTCCAAACGCTAAGGATTTAGGATGGCTTAAATGCAGTGCAGAACCATTAATAGGAACACTGAACATAACAGAGTCAACACGTTCAGCTGACTCATCTTCCTCTGCTGCTCCTCTTTCCATGCTCAAAGAATTGATGATTTCCGATCCTATGAATTTACCAAAGGGTTGGATGCAAAATCTGACTTCTCTAGAGTCTCTTCAAATTATATGGTGTGAAAGTGAAACACTTGAGGAATTTGAAACTGGGTTTAAGGTTGACACCAACTGCCTTCTGCGAAGAATCGCCATACTTAGGTGTAAAAAGCTAAAGGCTTTGCCAGATTGGATTTGCAACCTCTCGTCGCTTCAACGCATCATATTGTGGGATTGCCCAAATCTGGCATCGCTGCCCGAAGGAATGAGTGGTCTTACCAACTTAAAGATATTTGAAGTGAAGAATTGTTCCCTCTTAGTTAAAGAATGTCGAACAGAGACAAGTGTTGTTAGTCGCCAAATCGCACACATCCCACAAATCAACCTTCTTGGTTAGTGATGATAAAGGTTCCAATCTGATTCTGATGCGTATTTATTTAGCATTAAGTCGTGTACTGTATTTGCTTTGCTAATAAAATACTTTTAACTAGTTCTTGAATTATTGTTCATTTGTTTCAAAGATAAATACAAATTATTCTAATAATATTAATTTTTAATTGTGAAACAATATCGGAGTCTTAACTGTCATATATTTAATGCCAATAAGTTTCTTTTTTATTTGCACCGATATTATTAAAAAATATATGTTTTAAATATTATATCATTTAATAAATTTGATAAATAAATATTTTAGTATATTAATAAGATTAAATTGAAAAAAGATAATTAGAAAATTTGTATAATAAATTTATTTATTTATGAAATAAGATAATAAATTTTGTTATTTTATCAATTGATTTTTTGTCTACATGCTCAAGTTTTGTTTATCATATTTTTCATTACACAATTTTAAATATATTTGTTAAAATAATAGACGTTAATAATTCTTTTTTTTTTTATTGCTTTTGTTAAAGTAAATTGTCACTTCTCAAGAATAGTTTAATGATTTGGTTGGTTAGAGATATATGAGCTTATGGGACAACTTTGCTGAATTCTTCTATGTGAGTGCATTTATAGAGGTTGGATATACATTATCTTGACTATTATAACGGGGATAACATCTTTTCAAAGAAAGTCATAAGAATTCAGTTTTTTTTTTTTTTTTTTAAATTGACTTAGTGCTTGCTCAATGCAAGTTGAATTGTGTCTATCTTAGACTCATATTTTTAAAATATTATAATTTCATAGTTTTTTTAGATAATAGATAAAAGAAATTTGTGTGAAGATAATATCTAATTTCTTTTGCAAAGGAATAAAATATTTGTTTAATTGGTAATTGTTTTAATTCACATGTTCAATTTATATGTACAATGTTATCTAACATACATCTAGCATTGATGTTTTTAGTCTTACTATTTATCATTATATACTTTACATTAAATTTGATCTATGATTATAATTCTTTACCGCAAGAAGTCCATTGCTATTTTCACAAGTTTTTAATGTTTCAGCTTGTTATTCTTTTTGGCCTTATTTTTATCTTTTTACAATTTTGAGTTAGTTCTCAATTATTCTTCATATGAAAATATATTTAACGTTTTATACAATACATGATTGATTATTATTCTCTAATTACACTTATGTCAAAATCTAATTAAAATATTTAACGTTCTAAATCACTTATCTCTTATTTATATAATTTTTTTTATTAACGATAACTATTTTGACGCATTTTACCTGATTCTCTTCTATTTTAATTTTTTATAAAATAATCCATCAACATATTATTTTTTGTTGATATTTGAAAAATACATAAATTCATTTAAAAATATATTTATAAAAATATTAGTTATTTGGGATTAGTTTTTGAAAGTATTTATACTAGATATGAGAATTTAACATTCTTAATTTAAAATTTAAGAAAAAGTTAAAATAATTCACTTGTCAATATATGAATAAAAAAGTATGAAAATGAGTATAACTGCTTTAACACAGGAATGATGAGTAGCCAATCTTTTCTTTAGCTGACAGATTATGATAATGTGGTTTTTAATGTAGTCAACTGACAGATTGTGATAACAGGACAAAGGTTGCAACACATGGAAACTGCATTTACTTTAATCACAAAGCATGGTGGACTTATAAAGGATCAAATGGTATGTACCTGCTCAGAATGATGTATCTACACATCAACCTGCATCTTTTCCAATTGATGTTAAGTTTTATGCATTTTAGCTTTTATGCATCTAAGATTTAAGTGATGCAAATCTTTGTCTCAAGGCACAAGCTATCTTCCACTCATCAACCCTACCCAAACCTTCAATTATCTTCTGCTGACACTCATATATGGTATAAAACCTCTTTCTGTCAGCGTCATTGCAATAGAATGAGACAGACATTGCTGGAACAGATGAGAGGAAAATAAGCATATAATTCAGTTCATACATACATTATAATACAAAATATATGACTAGAATCAACACAGTTATTGTAACACCTTAATTATAATTTAAATTAAATAATAACTTCACAAATCGGATTACTAAATTTTCATAAAGAATTTTGAAATAAGTGAAGAGTTACAAATTAATATCAAATAACTGCTACAGAACTAGTTCGATTATAATGTTTTCAAAATAAAGTCTAAGTCCTATAGTAACCCATCCATCCCTTCACTGAGTCCGATGCTGATCGTCTTGATTACCTAAAAAATGAATGGAAGGGTGAGTACTCTACACTACTCAAAAACACACAATCAACGTAGAGTCTCACCTCCAGAACATTTCCAATATATTAAACAGACACAATCACAAGCAGCATTATCACATCCATAAGTACAATACATAAACCCATGCATATGCACGCCAGCCACACTCACTGTGGCACTGTGATCACAAATTTCCACTATGAATAGTCGCTGGTTACTCCTGCCTCACGGATACTACGTGGGTAGTCATGGGTCGCTCAGCAAAGGTAGTGGTCAGAGGTTTAGTCAGGAAGAGAGTGTGTGACCCGTGGTGCACCCGTTCTACAGTTGGTGTCACCACCACTCCCCCAGTGTATCGCTGAACCATTTATAGCACGTTACAACGGTGCTAACACACCCCATTCACATACATTTCATTCACACACACAATATTCATGCTTGCACACGGCACGTAGCCTATATTCAATTCACATTACACGGCCCTCGGGCCCACATTTTCAAAATATTTATTCAAATATATGGCACAAGTGCCCATATCTATTCACAACACTCGGCATACATGCCCTCATTCTATCACACAATATTTACATACAATTCACATTTATCAACTTCGGGTCAACACACACACACAATGTTCACATATCATGACACATGGCCCACACTACATTTATCAGCAATTTCCTACCCACTAACTTAACCACAACATAATATTCAGCAAAATAACAATAATTCATGCACAAAAGAGTAGGATAGAGTCCCCCCTTACCTTGGATTGAAGACCCACACTCGGATTCGACCACAGACGTGCTCCCTACACAGATTTCGGCCTAAAACACATGGAAGAACTCCATGAGAACTCCAAGAAATCGAGAAACAGGGAAAGGGGATGAAAAACTGAAACCCTAAATATTAAAACTCACCTCCAAGCGTTCCCCACACAGATTTAACCTTCAATCTAGCTCCCGAATGGCTTTTGGAGGCAATTAATCGGTGGAATAAAGCTTTGGGAACGAAAGGATCAAAGGAATTTCGAAGGGAGAGGGAGAAATAACTCTCCCCGAACCCTAACCCCCTTTAAATCCTCTTCTGGTCGCACACTCTCGCTACAGCGAAAAAACCAGAGAAAACTGCACTCTGGTTTCTACATAATCTCGCTACAACGAGACCCTCTTGCTACAGCGAGACTGTACCCAGAAATGCACCCCAAACTGTTGCTCTGTCACTACAGCGAGACGTCTCTTGCTACAGCAAGAAGGCGACAGTTTTAGTCCTTCCTCCAGGGCCCTCTCGTTGTAGCGAGAACAACCCAGTATCACGTCCTACACTTAGGCACTTAGCCCATTTCAGGCATATCTAGTCATGCATACACACAATACACACATCTATATACTTAATACACATAAACATCATTATCAAGTAAATCAACACACGTATATGTATATATGCACTTATATTTATATAAATAACAATAATTAATATTACCAAAATTCAGGGCATTACAATTCTCATCAGAACATGCACATTGAAATGAATTAGTCAAATGAATTAGCCATGATTTGTGTGTGCCTAGGAGTTGTCAGGTCAAGTAAGATTTAGTAGAAAATCATGCCCAAAATCATTCCTTTTTTCTTTTTTTAATCATGACAATTAGAAGAGTACCAACCTGACCATTTTCTGATTGGTTTAGGTTGAGTTATTGGGTTAATTTTTTTTGTCACCGCATGATCTGTGTGTGCTTAGGATTATTGACTTGTCCTTGCAGTTGATCACTTCCAAACCGTCATATCTTTATAGCCAAAGCAAATTTTTATTTGCTTTGTATCCGTGGTTCCATCCTCTTTCATAAACCATTTATAATATATTAAAATAGGCACTTGATTTATTTTGGGAAGCATGCAACATAAACTTAAAATAAATTGATGTTTTAAGTGTGTATAAAACCTGATTGATGAAAGACTAAGCAAGAAAGTTCGCATTTGGTTTTGCTTTGATGCCAATTTGTTGTTGAACTCTTTTCAAGTAAAAGTAACTTTTTCCATGTGAAAGTACAAGATAATTTGCAAGTTTTATTATGAATTAATCTGCAATCCATATTGTTAGAATAAGAACAATGATTCAATTGGATTGAAGCACACAATTTTATTGATTTTAACATTCTTTAAATACAAAAGAAGTCATAACTGAAAAAAAATTATTTTTGAAATAAAATTAAAACAAAATAATAACAGTCCATAATTCTCTTGTTAGTAACAGTTCGTAATTATAGAAAACTAACAATTGTAACTGATAAACTTTAATGGTAGATGCTGATGCATATTCTAAGCATTCCTCCTTGCATCATTAACTACAAACTCTAAGTTTCTCCCTTAAGCTTTCAAACCTTGCTCTTGGAAATGGCTTTGTAAAGATGTTTGCCAATTGATCTTCCGTGGCATAATGTTGCAGTAAAACTCCTCCTTTTTCTTGAACTTCTCTGAGAAAATAAAACATAAAATTAAAGTGCTTAGTCTTTCCATGAAAAACTAGGTTGGTGGAAACCAAAATTGCAGCTTGATTTTCCACATAAATCTTTGTGCTTCCTTTTTGTTTAAGCTGTAAATCAATTAGTATCTTCCTAATCTATAAAGCTTGATTAACTATTGCAACTGCTACAATAAACTTAGCTTCTGCAGTGGATTGGGTTATAATTTCCTACTTCTTTGAACTCTAGCAAAAAATTCCTGAACCAAGTGAAAAACAATAACCTGAGGTGCTCTTCATGTCATCAACAGAGCCAGCTCAATCACTATCTGAAAAACCATGAAAATTAAAATCTTGATTTTTAGAACATGACATCATAGTTAACACTTTCCCTTACATATCTCAGCACCCTTTTTGCTACTCTAAAATGCTCTTCACTAGCATAATGTAAGAATCTAGAAAGAACATTAATAGCTTGCAAAATGTTAGGCTTAGTAGATGTGAGATACATCAAACATCCAATCAAACTTCTGTAAACAGTCTCTTCAACTTTTCCAGACCCATCTTCTTTGCTAAGCTTCTCTTTCTAATTCATAGGAGTGCTTATAGACTTGCATCTACTCATATTAAACTTCTTCAAGATTTCTGTAGCATATTTTCTTTGAGAAATAAAAATTCCTGAATCTATTTGCTTAATTTCAATCCCTAAGAAATATGACATTTGACCAAGATCAGTCATCTCAAAATTGTTCAACATTTCATTTTTGAGCTGATTGATGAAATCAACATTATTACCTGTTACCAAAAGGTCTTCAACATATAACGATAAAATCAAAATATCAGTTCCTATTTGCTTTCAACATATAACGATAAAATCAAAATATCAGTTCCTATTTGCTTAAGATAAAGTGTTGATTCACGAAGACTCTTAGTGAAACCAAGACTCAACAAATATTGATATTTCTGCTATACCAGGCCCTAGGAGCCTGCTTTAGGCCATATAAAGTTTTTATTGTTTAAGCACAATTTCATAAAATATTTCAAATAAGAAATTAGAGTACAATTTGCATCATTACTTGCTACAGGACTTAAATATACATCAGATTTTCAGAATAAATTTATAAGTCCTATAACAGTTTCACCCTTCCTTCCTTCATGAGCCCCAGTGCTGATCGTCTTGGTTACCTGAAAGATAAACGTAAGGGTGAGTCCTTTACACTAGTATAAATACACAGACAAGCATTAGACTCACCTGACCAATTATACATAAATTCTAATCATATTCGGAGCATACATCAACGATCATCATGCATCCAAATTCTCAATTACAATATGTGTGCTCACTGCACTAATTACAAATCCACACATTTACACAAACACACGTGAGCTCACTGCACGTAGCCACGCTCACCGTGGCACTGTGATCACAAATTCCTGATGCCCTCGACCTCAGGGACTTACTTAGTTATACTATGGATGGTCGCCCGAATAGCTCCTGCTCCACGGATACAACATGTGTGGCCTGTGGTGCACCCACGCTCACTGTTGGTGTCACCATTACCCTCTTTTCCCCAAGGTACTTCTACCACCCCTATCTTCTACACCCCCAGTATATCTCTAAACCATTCATAGTTTCAACACCCAAACATATCATCATTCATTCAATATATCATCCACACTCATTTCTAACTATTCACATTATTCATTTAGCAATCAAGGGCATGTCAACACCATTTCATCCACATTACAACCAGCCATTTCATCACAATCGTCACACGTCATGCTTAACATATTCACAATCACATTTCTATCATACACACATCATTTCCTTGCATCCAATGACAACCAATCCAAATCACATCACTCAATTTCACACAATGTGCTGGAGGTCAGACACATCCGGACTCAACCTAATTTGTACAATTCATCAATACACATATTTACGCATTCCATTTTTATCTCATTGCCAGAAACAACCAAATAGACCTATTTCTAACAAAGATAACTAGAGTAAAGTCCTCCTCTTACCTCAAAACGAAGATCCAACCCAAAGTAATGGTAAAAACGGCTCCCCACACGATTTTTGACCCTAAAGCACATAGAAATTTCATGGAAACTCAGAGAGAACCTCGGAGATAAGAGAGAGGGACTAAAAACCAAAACCTTGGCCACGGAACTTACGTCTAAGAGCTCCAAACATGTCCCTCACCTTCAATCTAGCTTCCAAACGTCCT